TATTCTTTTTATTGAATCTGTCATTTTACTTGAGTTTGTTGCTTTTATGCATTGACTTTTCAAAGTTGACGGATTTTTGCACCTACACCATGGAAAGGGGTGAAAATGAATAAAAAAGTAAAAAAGATTGCAGAATAATAATGACTTGTTTGCCCATTCGGACAACAAAGTAAGCATCGCTGTTTGTGGAATCTCTAACAGCAAGGTTTACGCCTCTGTCGACGTGAATTCTGAGAAGACCCAACGAGCTTTCCATCTGAATTAAGATGGGTGTATTGGACAAGTTCAACTGATTGCTTGAGACTTTTGAAGCAGAGAAAGGGGTTTTGATTCCTTGGTCTGACGATTCTGACCTCTTTTGATGTTTTTACTTTTTATACCAACAAATCACACGGCGACAGTAAGTTAAGCAATTAAGTGGAGTAGTATGTTAAAGTCTTTCAAAATTTCATTCTCTATTTGAGGTGGAACATCTCCAATGCCCTCTCAAAGGGACAAGGATCCTCTCTATTTGCACAGTTGTCCATTTCTTTCATTTTTGTGAGTGAAAGTGCATTCCAATATTTTCGTAAGGTGCATTCCAATATTTTTCTACGGTACATCCTAACATTTTTCTATTGTGCATCCCAAACATAACTGACGTGGCAATTTCTAGGCCACTCATTTTAAAATGGAGGAAATGGCATACCATTTCACTGGAGGTGATTTTCACCGCTCTCAATGAGCTTTTCAAAGTTAAAAATATGGTAGGTGGTTGAAAATAATACACTTCAATAGGCTCTCAGAGTATCTCCAATACAAAATGTTATATTTTCATATCAAAGCTATATTTTGATAGAAAGTACAGTGTTAAAATACTATCTTTTAGAAATTCTGCTCTAATGGTGTATTTCATTCAAAATGCTATTTTTTATCATAGCAACCATTTCATGTTTTCAGAGCTCGTTGGAGTGCCTTATTTTTATTTTAGCAACTTTTGCCAATCTCAAAATATGAAAGGTCTTTTGAGAGCCCATTCGAGTGCCTTATTTTTATCCATTTGTTATATTTTCAGTTTGATAGACCATTTGAGAGCCACTATATTTGGCAATACTTTTGACAATCTCAAAATATGAGAGGTCTTTTGAGAGCCTATTAAAGTGCCTTATTTTCATTCACTTGCCATATTTTGAATTTGAGAAATTTTTTTGAGAGGTCGCTTTTTTATCATACAATGTTGTTTATCAAAATATAGCAGGTGGATGAAAATAATACACTCTAAATAATATTTTGGATGAAATGCACCATTGGAACAGAATTGCTAAAATATATCATTTTGACACTATAGCTCCTTTTAAAATATAGCTTTGGCAGGGAAAAATAGCATTTTGCATTGAAGATGCTCTGAAGAGCTTTAGTTGGAGCAAGGTTACAACTAAAAAAAAAAAATTCTAGAATTTTATTTTTGGGGGTTGTTTGGGGGAATTTATATAGAGGTTTCTTTAAAAAAAATAATAATTTCAATGGGGATAATTTCAAATTTTTATGGGTATAAATGCAAAAAATATATATATATACAAATTTAAGGAAATAAAATGCAATAATAAAAAATTTCAGTGGATTGAGCCACGGTAGATCCGTCCCTTGGCAGAGTTATAAAGAAATCTTTATTTAAGATAGAGCTATGGAGGAACACATGAAGATATAGTCTGATCACGTGTTGATTACGTGAATGATTTGGGAGGTTGAAGAGTTGCAGACTTGATTTTGGCTATTGCCAAAGTTGAACCAGTTTAGTGGGCTTTAAACCGGTTCAAGTGTTGCGTCGACTTTGGCTACTGCCAAAGTTGAACCTTTTCAACTTGGACAATGAGTTTTTGGAAGTTGCGAGAAGCAGTTTCCTAATCAGTTTTGGAAGATAGAAGACTCGGGAAAAATGCCTAAAAATTTGGGAAAGAAGTTGTACCTATTATTTTAAAGTTTAAGACAGATATGGTAATTCCTTGTAGGCAAGTTGGAGAATATTTGTCTAACAAGAAATTGAGTTTTGAAGATTGTATAAATAGAGATGGGTTTAGAAAGAGAAAATTGTAAAGAGAAAAAAAGAGTTAAGATTGTGAGAGAGAAAAGAGTGTGTAATCAAGTTTTTGAAGTAAAGTTAGTCGTTCTTCACCCGGACAAGGCAATTTTCCAAACCATGTAAATTTTGTGTTTTTTTTGCTTGTGTGTGTTTTTTATTTGTTATATTTGCCAATTGTGTGTGTGAAACCCTAACAACTAGTACCAGACTTATGCCGGCAAGTATTATATATGGAAAGTATGTGGTCGAAAAATTTGTTGGAAAAAGGAACTTTAGTCTTTTGCAAGTTCGGATACGGGATTTATTGATTCAGTATGGTCTAGGAGATGCTTTGGGTAAGCAATCAGAAAAGATGAAAGATGCAGATTGAACAAAGATCAACTTGAAGGAAATGAGTGCGATTCGATTAACGTTGGCATATAATATTATGTATGATGTGATAAAAGAAGATTTAACAGCAGACATGTGAAAAAAGCTAGAAAATCTATATATAGGCAAGAATCTCACCAACCGGTAAATATTAAAGTAAGAGTTGTATTCTTTCAGAAGAAAAGAAAGGATGAGCTTACAAGAACATCTTGGTGAGTTCAACAAATTTATTTGTGATTTGTTTAATATTGATGTCAAGTTAACTGATGAGAATAAAACCATTATTTTGTTAATATCAGTAAGCTCTACCCATAAGTATTTATTAAATACTTTGCTTTATGGGAGAGATACCATCTCGGTGGAAAAAGTTAAAAATGCTTTGTTCTCTAATGAAAAGTTGAATGATGAAGAAAGTCATGATGCTCAGGCTCAAATTCTTATTGCTCAAGAGAAGAAGAGATTTAGAGTTTTAAGAAACCTTGTGCCATTGTCAGGAAAAAAAAAAAAAAAAAAGTTACAAGTATGGAAGAAAAGGGGCATATTCAGTGGTATTGTCCAGAAAGAAAGGGGAGTGCATCCACTGTTGTTGTTGTGTCTAAAGATACCAAAGAAGAGAGTGATAATGATGAAGCATTATCAATCGTTGATAATAAATGAGGCAGAACCTTGTTGAACCGGTTCAAATAGGGTTGAACCGGTTCAACTTGGATAGTAAGTTTTTGGAAGTTGGGAGAAATATTTTAGAATCAGTTTTGGAAGGCAGAAGTCTTGGGGAAAAAGCTAAAGATTTTAGGAAGAAGTTGTATCTACTATTTTAGAGTTGAAGACAGATATGGTAACTCTTTGTAGGCAAGTACGTTGGGGAATATTTGTTCAACAAGGAATTGAGTTTTGAAAATTCTATAAATAGATATAGGTTTAGAGAGAAAATTGTAGAGAGAAAAATAGAGTTGAGATTGTTTGAGAGAAAATAATGTGTAATCAAATTTTTGAAGTAGAGTTAGTTATTATTTGCATGTGGACTAAGCAATTCGCCAAACTATGTAAATTTCGTTTATTTTTTTGTTTACGTGTCTATTTTTTATCTGTTATATTTGTCAATACTATAATTGATTGCAATAGTTTATTTTCGTCTTCGACAAAAATCACGTGCATGCTTTTCAGTTTGGAGTTTGGAATTTTCCCAAGTCTCTTGGGACAACTGGGTCATTTTATTTGGAGATTTTTCCTTACATTTTATATGCATAATTTTAAATTATCTATTATGTATGTTGATACAAGACACCAGCAAATATTGTAGTCTGGTAATTTTTTTCTTTTGAAGTAGAACAAATCCTACTATAAGGTACTCCAACCGAGAATTTTAGAGGAGTAGGTTTTAGAAACAAATGAAATTGAGTTTCTATTTCGTTCAAAATAGACTAAACTATTAATAAGACTATATAACACTACTCTTGATTTGGTTTTTATTTATTTATTATTTTATATAATATCATTTTGTTATTAAAATTCAATCTTACTTGCTGCCAAGAAAAGTTTTTTTTTTCCCTAATTTGACCAAAAAATATATCAAACCTTCAACTTTATAAAAGTTTTGATGTTGCGTTTGAGGGTATTGAATTCGCACCATGAATTTGAAATTGAATGAGTTTTAGTTCAAAATTTTATTTAATTCCGACCCTAAATTCAAATTACCGTTTCGGTGCTATCAAACATTGCAATTGCAAGAATATTTTTTTTGTATTTTTTTGTTTACTTATCCAATAACAGTTTGCCCATGGAAGAATTTTCGTTTTATTTTGAAACCATTGCCCATTAAAATGAATAAATGCAAGATCACAATACATATACAGGACAATGACTAAGCTCAGATCTAGAGTGGGCTTTCAATGGTAGATAAAGGTTCTTCTCGAGTCCATTGGACAAGGCTTTAGGGGTTGTCTTTTGGCAAAATGCAATCACTAAGCCCAGATTTATAGTGGGCTTTCAAACGTTTTCCATTTGAAGATGGTGTCTTAGAACAAGTTGAACTGGTTGCTGAAGACTAGAAATGAATGGTTGAAGATCAGGCTTGGTTTGATTGATTATTAGATGCACCAGCCCCCGGTAATTATGGAACAATTCAGAAAGTGTGCTATCTTTAATGTGCCTTCCGAGTGTCGAACTAGGGTGGAACCTCCTCCTCTATAGTATTTATCTCACTCCTCAACTATGGACCAACCCGTGCGTGTCAGTCCCAGCTAAACTTGTTTAATCTTAAATTTAACTAATATAATGGTCATGGTAAATGAATGAGAATGGTGTTCATTAGTTAGTATAACTTGCTTTTTAAGTCCATGTAGCATGCATTCACAATGTCACCATTCATCTTCTTTAATACTCTACACAAATTGGCAAATACACGGAAAGATGAGAATCCAAATTGCTCTCTCACTCTATCTATATTGATGAATAAAAAGCCCAAACTGATCCAAGTTGTTTGCTTGCCATATATATGATTGACATTAATTTATAGGCTGGATTAATACAAAACATTACTTTATTTTTCCTAGTTGATAGACACACACCCTACTTAAGGAATTAATTGCATCAAAGAAGAGTCAAACCATAGACCTGATGTTTTTCGAGACACCAGAGTAAAGTGACTCACCCACTTGAGCCAACCTTTGGAATTAAGCACACTCTCTATTACATGATTGAACAAAATAACAACCAAATAAACACACCAAACCCATACCATACCATGCTTAGCAATAAACAAAGGCAGTTCATATTAGATTTACAAACCACTGGAACCAGAAACATTTATCCACTGCAACTGAAGTTCAATCTCGCCACACTCGACATTTTGCAGTCTAACGAACATGTTCTGGACAACCTTGCCGTCCGTCCAAACAATGCAGCTCTCTTCTGCCAAACAGTTCTCCAGGCTCGGTATTACTCTTGTGAGGATGGTTCCATTAGCAACATTTCCCAACTGCATCTTTAGTGTTTCAAGGAATGGTCTGATGTCCAACTCTGCATCTCCCATTTTGTCATCATGGGTGAATGTGTCCTTGTCATAAATCGACTGCAATTACATAGAATAAAAGGGTGTATAAATGATTATTAGAATTAATGATTGGAGAATTATCTTTACTAATCAGAATAGCGAAATTAACGTCATTCAAGAAATGCCATACTGTTTTTCATGTCCATGAATTAAGCACCAAGGTCAAGTGAGGTACACCCCATTTTGAAACTAGTAAGCAGTACAAGCTCTTTAAAATAACTGAAATACTTACAAGCTTAATTGGAAGATTAGGATCTGCAACAGAAAGAGTCAAATCTTCATTCCACACAGGATTGACATCTTTTTTCACTACAGAAGTCTTCAATTCCTGCATCAATTTTGAAATTAAAATAATATCGGTTAGAATAAATAAAGCTGAAGGTCTAATACTATGGCAAATCAATTGCTTATCCAAAATGTTGAAGTAGAATCAAGCATTTCACAAGCTTCAAATTACAAGAGATAAAAAGATAATGACATTGTCTGCAACTAAAAACAAGCAGTTGACATGTTAGTTTGTGGCTAAAAAAAAAGGAACAACCAAGATCACCCCATAAAAGAAACGTGGACAAAACTTAAAATTTAGTCCAGCTTTGTTCTGGCTAATTCCAGAATGGAAAATAATTTTGAAATTTCTAAATTTGTAACCTTACACTAATTGCAAGGGTAAAGTGCATAAAAAAAAACCCCTAAAGTATTCTCCACGCATACTACTTTAGGCTCATATTTTAAAAAGTGTGATATTAACCTTATTATTTTTTAAAAATTGAGCGGAAACACCGTTCAAATCACTTTTTGCAAAAAGGTAACATAAAGTAATATTGTAATACCTATTTTGCTCTTTTAACTCTTCTGAAATTTCCAATGGGGGATATATATGCCAATAATCTCATATTACAGGATGTTATATGCACATTAACTATATTTAGCCCACTTTTAAGAATTTTCTCTCACCTTTACAAAATAAAAAATAAAATTTTTTCTCTATATATTTCCCCTAACAATTTATTGTCTTTGTGACGGTTTTACATTTACTAGAACTTAATGTCACTCATAAGTTAGTGTTCTAATATATATATTTCTTTTACTAGTCAAATGGAGATATAAAAAAATATCTCAAAAAATATTTGTCCTCGTAGCAACAAATGAGTGTACAAATGGTTGTTCAGTCACCCCACTTTAGGGTTGTTTTTACTTTTTGGTATTTTACCCAACCTGGGTGTTATCCTTTTTTGTCATTTCACAAAATGACTTTTTTAAAAAAAAAAAAGAAATAATGTGTAAATTGTGTCCATAAGAGTAATTTGACAAAGTCTATCTTAAATGTGTGATGTATAACTTATTTGTACAGGTTTTTATATTATTGGGTGTTTTTTTTGCACTATTACCACCCCACCCCCCCTCCCGCCGGCCCCGGCCCGAAGTATAACTTATTTGTACAGGTTTTTATATTTATATTATCCCCTCCCCCCGGCGCTTCTTCTCAACAGACACACACACACACACCCCCCACAATTATAAATATATAAAGATCATTAACAAAAAAGCTCTTTCGCTAATCATAACCCCTTACCGCGGGATTGAAAAAAATTTGCATCAAAAGCAACCAATTAAAGCAGCAAACCCACCCCATGGAAAGGGTTGAAATTGAATCAAAGAGTAAAAAAGAATGACCTGTTTGCCCATTCGGACCACAAGGTAAGGATCGCTGGTTCTTGAATCTCTGACAGCAAGGTTTACGCCTCTGTGGACGTGAATTCTGAGAAGACCCAACGAGTTGTCCATCTGAATTAAGATTGTTGTGTTGGACAAGTTCAACTAGTTGCTTGCTGAGAGACTTAAAATGAATAGATGAAAGAGACTTGGTTTGATTATGAGGGAGACTTTTGAAGCAGAGAAAGTGGTTTTGATTCCTTGGTCTGACGATTTGACCTCTTTTTATGTTTTTACTTTTTATACCAACAAATCACGGGGGCGAGTAGTCTCCATGGCACCTCTCACTGGACGGTGTACATGGCAGATCCAATGGCTGGGATGAAGCCACTTCAGCTTATTTTATTATGTTATTGTCTTGACAGCGATGACGAAGCGCCAAGTCAGCAGTAATTTTTAAACTTTACTTTTTTTACCATATACGAATATTAGAGACCATATACATACTTACCATATACGAATACAATATTCCAAAACCATCCTTACAACCGTTCCTCCTCCGCCACCACCGCAACCGCCGGCAACACCACTGTTCAGATTTGTTTTAGCTTCAAGATCATTTTCTCTTTCAGAAAGAGAGTGTTCTTTCTATTTTCCCCTTTTTTTTCTTCTCTCTTTCAAAAAGTTCTCTTATTGCCTTCTCTCACATCAATTGAAGAAGGTGTTGGTGAAGGATTGACACCTTCTGATTCAGCTTTGGGGTTTCTCAGAGAGAAGACGACGGAGACGATAAGTGCCAGAAATACCCATTCGCTCATCATCACCGCCATTTTCGTTTCAAGAAATTGGAACAATCTTTGGAGAGACGAAAGAATTTAGAAAGAGATCGAGAACGGTAGATAACAGATTCCCCTTCTTCTTTCCTCTGCTTTCTCTCTCTACTCTTTCTCCTCTCTTCATCAACGTCCCCCACCATTACCATCCCTCTCTCCCATTTCCACACAAACCCATCTCCATCTCTAGATCCATACCAAACCCTCACCAATCTAGCTTCCAAAATCTTTGTGCGCAAATTGCCAGAAAGCGTGGCCACTAACAAACTCAGAAGATAAATTTAGTAACATGTGTTTATAGATAGAAACAGAGGAAAAGCAGAAGCTCAAATCCGCCATTAACAAAGCTTAATTTGAGAAATTAGACATATAAATATATACTCATATATATATATATATATAGACACATGTGATTTTTTTATAGAAAGAGAGAGAGAGGTTTTGAGCATCTTCGAATCTGAAATGTAGCTAAGAAAAAGCTCAAATTCGCCATTAATGAAGATTGGTTTAAGTAATTATACATATAAATATATAGGATTTTATATATATATATATATATATATATATATAAAGAAAGAAATTTTGAGCATCTTCGAATCTGAAGAATTGTCAGAAAATAAGAAAAGAAGTAATCGAAAAGGTATAACACAATAGATCAATCATATCTAAATTTACAAAGGATCTCATAAATCAAGAAAGTAGCACATAGTTAGGATACAGATTTGATTATACAAAGACATGTAATGATACGAATTAAACGAAAAACCAAAATTAAAACTAGAATCCAGACAAATTCAAGCTTAGTTCAAGTCATTTGCTTCGTTTTGTCGTAGTAACGAATCGAGAGCAGGGAAAGCGAGAGATGAACCTCATCCTTTCCCTAGCGAGTTTTGGCGGTGGCGGGCTTCGCTGGAACCGCCAAACGCGGCGGAGGAGGTGGACACGGCCACGCCGACGACGAAGAGGCGCCGGACGCGGAGGAGGAGGTAGACACGGTCACGCCGACGACAAGTAGGCGGAGGAGGAAGAGGAGGAAGAAGAAGGTGGCTTGGAAAGAGGCCAGAGGTAGAGAGAGTGGAGGCGACGACAAGAGAGAAGGCAATAAGAGATACATACGAGGAGACTATTAGATACATACTAGGTAAATACTTTGTGCACATACCTGCCATGTCACCCATGCCACATCAGCAATGGACACCCTCCAGTGAGAGGGTGTCTGGAGACGATTTTTCCCACAACTCACACAGCCAAAGTAAGTGGAGTAGTATTTTAAAGTCTTTCTAAATTTCTTCCTTGCTCTATTTGAGGTGGAGGTAAAAAGAGCTTGAGTTTGGAGCAGGGTTACAAAAAAAATAAAATAAAATTTCAGTGGATTGAGCCCACAGTAGATCTATCCTGATCTATAAAGAGATCTTTATTTAAGTTGAAGTTATGAAGAAACACATGAATATATAATCTAATCCCGTGTTGATTAGGTGAATAATTTGGGAGGTTGAAAAGTTGCAAATTTCATTTTGGTTACTGCCAAAGTTGAATCGGTTCAGTGGGCTTTAAACCGGTTCAACTGTGGCGTTAACTTAGGCTACTGCCAAAGTTGAACCAATTCAACTTGAACAATAAGTTTTTGAAAGTTGCGAGAAACAGTTTCCTAATCAGTCTTGGAAACCAGAAGATTTGGGGAAAAAGCTAAAGATTTGGGGAAGAAGTTGAACCTATTATTTTAGAGTTGAAGACGGATATGGTAACTCCTTGTAGACAAGTTGGGGAATACTTGTCCAACAATAAATTAAGTTTTGAAGACTATATAAATAGAGATGTGTTTAGAGAGAGAAAATTGTAAAAAGAAAAAAAGAGTTAAAATTGTGAGAGAGAAAAGAGTGTGTAATCAAGTTTTTGAAATAAAGTTAGTCCTTATTTGCTGGGGATTAGGCAATTTTTAAAACCACGTAAATCTTGTGTTTTTTGCTTGTCTATGTGTTTTTTATCTGTTATATTTGCCAATTGTGTGTGTGAAACCCTAACAACTAGTATCAGAGCTATGATGACAAGTATTACATATGGTAAGTACATGGTCGAGAAGTTTGATGGAAGAAGGAATTTCAGTCTTTGGCGAGTTCAGATGCGGGATTTACTAATTCAGTATGGTTAAGGAGATGCTTTGGGTAAGCAATCAAAAAAGATGGAAGATGCAATTGAATGAAGATCAACTTGAAGGTAATGAGTGCGATTCGATTGATGTTGGCATATAATATTGTGTATGATGTGATAAAAGAAGATTTAGCAGTAGATACGTGGAAGAAGCTGGAAAATCTATATATAGGCATGAATCTTACCAACCAATTAGTTTTAAAGCAAGAGTTGTATTCTTTCAGGAGAAAATAATGGGTAAGCCTACAAGAACATCTTGGTGAGTTCAACAAATTATTTGTGATATGTCTAATATTGATGTCAAGTTAACTGATGAGGATAAAATAATTATGGGTTAATTACACTCACACCCCCTGAGATTTGCTTTATCGACAACCAGATGAAAGTTAGTCTATTTTTGAACAATGACACTCCCTCAAGTATGTTAAAGTTAACAAAGAAACCCCAATGGTCAATTATCATGGTGAATTGACATTATTGTCCTTTAACCTTTAAAAGTTATTTTATTGGATAAAAAAGCCCTCATCTTCCCTACCCCTACTCTTTCTCCACACCAACCCACCTCTTACTCTTCATCTCTTGCTCTACCTCTACCACCATTGTGACGGCCCTGGTTTTTTAAACTAGTGCGTTCTATGATGAACTGAAGTTTGATCCGATAACTGATTTGAATGCAGAAACGAAAAAAGAAACGAAGTTTCTAGAGAGCATCTCTAAGACACAAAAGTGACCTTTCATGAGGCCACAGAACTCAACGAGAACAAACGCGGAGGAAAATGATCAAAAGTAGACCATAGGCCCCTAAGAGCAAAATGGTCTTTTCACATGGAATCAAAGTCTAGAGAGATATACTTCATCCCTAAGACACAAGCATGACTTCCCATGAAGCCACGGAAACAAAAAGAAAACAAAGCGGAAGCGAAGTTTAAATAAAAACAGACAAGTTTAGCCCTAGGGGTAAACTGATAATTTTAAAAAAAATATTTGGGTGCCCTTGAGCACACCATTGGATAGACAACAAAAAATTAACGAAGTTAAAAAAAAAAAAAAAAAATCACTTGATTTGAAATTCGGACGAGGGAGAAAGGTCAAAACCAAAATCGGAGTCGCGATGGCCCAACAAGTGTCAGGCCATGCACCCGTGCGCGCGCTCGCCTACCAGCGCCCCAACCAGCACATTTACCAGCACCTAACCATGGCACTCAGCTGACAGCAAGGGTTTTTGACAGATTTTTCAGAACTGAGAACCGTTTTGGACCCTTAAACGAATCGTTTTGTAAAAATACAAAGAAGAAACTCACCTTAAAATCAAGTTTTCTATCCGATCATGTTGAAAGAAAATTTTAAAATGTAATATGAAATACCCAAAATGCCCCTAGATCAATTTAGGTCAAAAATAATGAAAAAATAACTTTGCTCTAAGTGTTCATTTGACCTTAAATGGTGTTGTGTGCTAAAACTATTATGGGCGCAAACATAAATAGTGATTTTAAGTTCGCGGGAATGACCCATAGGCCCATTAATGCCCGATGCAAAATTTGACCTATCAAAGCTCAAAAATGCCTAAAATGGACTTTTAAAAGAAATTTGAAACTTAAAATTATAAAATGGTTTCAAAAGACCGTTTGGCCCTTAGCCACACTTTATACATAAATCAAGAGACCCTATGAAGGTGTTAAAGCACACTTCCCACCACCCATGCAAATGTAGTGAAGTAAAAGTATGCCATTTTTCTATTTTTCAATAAAAGAGCATGAAAGTAAGAGTACATAGAATTCAACATAAAAGTCCTTGGCCCATGGCCCCATCACATACATGTTAAATACATTCCAAATGGCGCACTTAAGTGCTCATTACATATTTAGAACCAAATATACAAGTTTTGACATTTTAAATAAAAATTAACATTTCATGCTAACATTTGCATGAATTAAATACTTCAAGTTTACAAAACATCTAAGGGATATTGTGTATCCCGAAACCACGTTTCCTTGCCTGAAATAGGTCGCATTCAGCGAGGAGTGAGTAACCTGTATTACTCGTAGGGAATGAGTATGCATAGACCTAACATTTTACATGATTATCACATTAATGTGAAACAATTCATAAGGTTCATACCACCTAACGTCTATGTCAAAAGTGAGACTCAGGGATCTCCTAAGCTACTTTAAAGTATTTCTAGCATAAATTACATCATGCATGCAATTTAAACAACATAAGAACATGCGGTATAACACAACAAGATATTCAAAATACAAGTATACATACAAAAGTACACAATTTAATATTGAAATGCACGTAAAACAAGTATACGAGACATAGGTATACTAGGTTATCTACCTTACTAAATCATCAATATACAAGTGTACACGCCAAGTACGCTAAACAATATTGAAAAAGAAACGCGACATACATTCAACTATACATTCCTAAGTATACTAAGCAATATAAACGTATATGGAGTACAAGTATACAACCTTAAGTATACTAAGCAATAATGAAATATCACGCACGAAACCACAAGCTAGAAGTAATCAACGATTAACAACTTCGAATTGAATGCGAAATCAACAAATGGCGGAAAGACAAAGGACATACGATCTCAATGACCAAGCAAGTGATCTCGAGTTACTAACCCGCAAGGTACTACCTAGTGTGCACTAAATCAGGAATAAAACTGTGATGTTAGTGTTTTTAGGTTACTAGCCCTCAGGGTACCACCAAGTGCACACTATAAGATATAGAGGAAACTCTCATTCCCCGTACTAGAGCCATGCCTTAGCCGTAACATATTACAATATCCATACAAGCTTTTCTAAAATCATTAAGTTGTGTAACAAGTATATTACATATACACAATGCACATTATCAATTACCATGCACAACCAAGTCATGGAATTTACACAAGAGATGCTCTAAACATTCAAGCTACAATGACATATTAAATGTCATATAAGTAAAATAGGTATACTAACAAGTTAAATCATAACTTCAACTCGTGAAATACTATCATGTAATCATATAACAAGTTCCAAATTATAAATTAAGCAAGAATATAACATCAATGCTTAATTACCCCAATGAAAGCATATAAATGGAATTTAATTAAATTAAATAATTAAATTCTCAAGATCACAAAGCAACTCCAAATATTCTAAAAATAATATAAGTCAAAGGTCATTCCAAGACCTAATTTAATATCAAGTTACAAGCTAATTCTACCTTAATTACAATTAGGTAAATTAAACTTCATACAAGAAAATAATTAAATAAAATTTTCAAAACTCATTCAAATATTCTCAATTTCATATATGTTAATGAACATATTAAGGACTAATTTAATATCATATTACAAGTTCATTCTATGCT